AAATTTTATTTTGATAACCATTCATGTGTATTAGTAGTATTACTAAATTCTATCACGGTCAAGTAAAAATGAGGTTGAGAAAATCTCCCCGTAACTAAATAAACCGTATCAAACTAACTGGAACACTAGTTGGAATTCTTCTTCACGGTATACTTCTGTTCCTTCAGTTAGCCTACTAATACAGATGCAATTGGAATTCAACTCTTATGGACAACTTACCGGCATAATTGTTAATTGGTTTCATAACTTAAACCAAAACTAGTACCGATATTAACATTTCTACAATATTCATTACTTTAATATTTCTAAACACAAAATAATTACTACCTATAAGTTAAGTTATTAACACGCATCGTTTTATTATTATTATTGTAACCCCATTTTTTATAGCTCAAATAATCTTCACCCAAATTTTCATTTCAAGCGTTTTAAGCATGAAGGCAGATATTTTAAAATTATTACATATATTTCCCGACCAGGTGCTGCCGCCTTCTTTTTGATTTATCTTTCAGCTTACCAATACCCGGAGGATTCTTATTATCCTTGGTAACCTCCGGTGCGCGACGATCCCATCCAATTTGGTATCGAACCAACATCACGTTGATTCTGGTGGGAGAGTAGTGTAGTGGTATTGGACCATAACCACACAATCTTCAAAGCTGAACACAACACTACTCAGAAAATAGATATTCAATATTTAACACGGAGAAATACCTAACAATGGAGAAGGCGCGAACAATGAATTGAATGGATTGGAGTTGATCGGATGGCATGGCTCGGCCATGCAGGCGTGGTCCATCTGAATGTTACGTCATATCTTCTATTCATATTAAATATATTGTTCCTTCTCTAACCTAACCTTGTTCTACATCATGTATTGGTAATTGATACGATACAGTGAGTTGGTGTAGTCGATGGTGTGACTTCCACGTAAGATCTTATAGATTAGGCAGTTATATCATGACAAATCTACAAATTTAGGATTAGGTCTATTACTAGAGCAGTACTAATATCATAGTAGACCATAGTTCTACAAATACATGTAGATTTGCGCAATGGTATACAGGGTGAAACTGGATATTAGTATAAAAATTTGCGCAATAATAATTTGCAATGGTGCTATTAAAGTCACTATCAATTGCAAACGATAATCAAATATAAATTTCTTTGTGTTATATATATGTGGTGAAGATAAAAGGAATCTGAGAATCTGTTTAAGTGTAACATTGGATAGTTTTTTTTCGTCTTTAGGTATAGACTTTGAATGTTCAGGAACAAAATATTTTTAGAAGAAATGGAAGGAATGAAAAGAATATCTTATGTGTCAAGGGACCAATAATGATATTAATAACACTAATAATTATAAATACGAACATGAGCAGACTTCATATATTAAGATGAATAAAAATAAAATAGACGTTGAAAGTTTCAAAGTTTACACTTTGCTTTTCAGTCAATTAGATAGATGACGGATATTGTTTGTATAAATCACTATTAAACACATTGATACTCAATAGGTGACACAATCCACTTTCGGAAAGAAAATTATCAAAGAGACTTCTGAATCGGGTTGTAGTTTCACTGCAACGGAGGTTCACTGGCAGTCTGTTCCACATGGTTGAGTAGCGAATAACGAAAAAATTCTGGCGTAAGTTTGTGTATGTTCTTGAAATCGCTAGAATATTCTCCTTATTACGTAGATTGTGGGAGGATATCACAGAGCATGAAGGGGTGGGTACCAAAGAGTAAGAAATACCGTTAATAAGCCGGTAGATAAAGGCAAGGTTTAATTTGATACGCCTGATCCAGAGAGGCCATAACATTGATCGTATTCGCTGAGTAGAATTATGAAGAAAGTGGGTTTATGGCAAAGTTATTTCAAAATAACCATATGCCAACCATTTATACAAGTTGTTAGATGCAAAAAGAGAAGAGAGACGATACCGCGAACAAAAGTATCAGAGTTTAGTCTTCAACCTAAACTTAGGCACAACGGTGAGTTAGTATCTAGTTGTGATATCCTAGCGCAGAATAAGTGAGTGGTAACTGTTAGGAATTATTTATGGACTATTATTCCATATTTTCCTATTAAATAACTGTTAAGTAACTGTATTATATTTATATCCGTATTTCCTTTATTATGAGCCTCCATATGAACTATTGACTACTATCATATGATTTACCATTATTAAGCTGTTCCTAACCTATTTTTCATAGTCTCTCACACTCACAGCAAGTTTTGGCTTGATTTATATGATGCTTTTTTTATTTTATGGTATAATCTGGTTTAGTTTTGTATAAAGCAAGTATTTTTGAAATAAAAGATTCATATAGTGCGAATGAGATTGTGTTCTGAACTCAACGGACAAGGTAGGGTGATAGGAACCAATTAAGCACCCAAAATGGGTTCTAGGCCGCTTGAACCGGCCAAAGCTCCATTGATTTCACACAATGTCAAGGTCGTATAAGCCGGTGTTCTAATTAACGATTTAGTCACGCGATAAATAACAGGACATAAGAACATAACAGTATAAATAATAAGCTGTCAAATAGCATCTGAAATAACGAGTAAACTCCTAGTCATAATGCGAGCTCGAAAATTCACAGAATGGTCAATTCACCATTATTCTGGCTCAAAAGTAACCAGGAAGAATATGACATACATTACGTAAGCTGACATTAAAAATTTAAATACGATGCAAGTAAACATATTTAGGTTAACGAAACATTAACGGCTGCAACAAAATCTGAAGCAACACGAAACATAACGCTAATGAGACACTGTGATTTACAGGCTTCGTAAAAAGGGCTGATATCGTCCGACTAGCGAACGACCTTTCTTGGTACGTGGGCTGACTCTAATCATAGCTGTAGTGGTGTGTGGTTCAATAAGTACTGCTCGAAGCTTTAGAAAACCTGATAATAACCTGATAATAATAGTAGCTATGTTTAAAACAGTAGGCGCTTCTGGAACTCTCGAAGTGATGCAATCAGAAGCCATGCTTCCGAAGACAGGGCTAAATTTATGATGGATAGTATTCACCCGGTTACCCACCGTTACAACATGAATACAAAGTATTTAGCTTACAATAAATTTATTGCAAATGCCACTATTTTTACAGGTTTTGGGTTGCATTTTTCTCAAACTTTGGAATTCGTTTGCTCATTGTTTCAACCTTTCGATTTTATTTTACTTCGGTCTGGTATATGTTAAGTCTGCCTTAAAAACCTTAAACTTGAAGGTTTGTTGTAAAAATAAATACCGTTGTTATTAAAACAATGTATTTGAACTGATCACTAGCGATTTACCAGTAAACGTCTGTCACTTAAATAAAAATTTAGTTGTAAGTTGTGAGCGTAATTGTTGACCGAGCTTAAAGAATGGATCATATCAGAAATTGTAAGTCATACCATTGTAATTATGACTTATAAACTCACAATTAAGTTGATTTTCACTGCTATCCCACGTCATGTAGAAATGAAATCTATTTTCGCTACAAACCAACAAGGTTGTTGTGTAGGCTTCCCGTTTTCATTCAACATTTTTGTTGTTAGAGCTCATTAGGCTTCTGCCTAAAGTTGAATTATTATTGAAGATTAGGTTTCCATTAATATAGGTGGACCATTGATAAGGTCTCTCATCAGAGAACTCGTAGGTTCGGTATTGAAAGCAAAGTCAGATAATTGATCAATGACCACCTCAGTGACCGGAGGTAGTATGTGAAAAAAAACAGTACTTAATCATTATAATAATATATGAAGAGTGGAGTTCATCATGAAAGAATCCTAAATCATCTTTTTTCCTCTGCCTAAGTAGTATTCCCAATGAGGTGAAGTCATCCGCTTATTGTTTGAATATAAAATAAAAGTACGGAAACTCATACAAAATCATGGCGACAGGATGGAAACAGAGTATGATCTAAATGTCTTTTTTAAGTGATCAAACAGGTAGTTGTTAATGATAAGTTTCCGAAAAGACGATTGTGTTGTTGAATCACTATCAAGATATCTTACAACATTCTATCAATCGAAATTTCCTTGCCAATGTGTGGTTATTACAAGAAGTGGTGAACCATTCTAGATAATGAACACAAAACGTCGGGTAGCTGTGGATTGTCCGCTCCGAAACCTCAAGATTTTGTAAGTAGTTCAGAATTTAATTCATAGCGATTAAATCACTCACCAGGTTTTTTCTCTTTTGTACTAGTCTATACTACAGAGTTACCCACTATTCTACCATACATGGAACTCAAAACTAACATGAGCACCGCGAAGCCTCAGAAACATACAGTTTATCATTTGAAATACCAGATCAGTTCGAGCTCACCACTCAAGATGTTGTGGATATTTGGAACTTAACAACGGCATTTTCGTAACAACTTCATGATCAGGGATCCTTAAAACAGTCAATACAAGAGTTAGGAATAAAAACATTCGTTGATATATGTGGAAGACATTCGATGTGTTGAGAAGCGTATAACCTGAGAGAGGTATGAGTTACATGGCATACTTAATGGTGGTCTGGGTTACTGTGTAAATGTAACAGGCGATATTTACGCGCATTTATGAGTACCAAATCCAACATTTTGTTCTCCATGAGATCTCCAGATTGAATTATCTGCAAATTTACCAGTGTACAAGGTTATACTAAACCACATCAAGTGTTACGTGAAGGTAGCAAGTACATTTATTGGTCTAAATTGCACTATGCTTTGCATATGTTTAAGCACCACCTGGTTGTATGATATGAAACAAACTTTGGTAACCATAATGATCTTAGTAGGTCAATCGTCACTTGTCAGCCAAATCTGTAATAGCCCCAGTAGTCAAATGTAATGTAGCCGATTGTAATGAATGCCGTTGTTGATCTTAACTCTTTAGCAGTAATAAAAAGTAAATTGAACGAAATCAGTTGATTTAACCTAGGTCAACAAATGTATATTTGGTGCTTGAAATTCTCGTATGACCTTCAGCTCCTCAGGATTGCTTTAAGCGCATATTTTAAAGTTTTTTACACGAGGACGTCGGTAGAATCAATGGTGTCACACAATGCAGTTCTCAAGGGTGATATTGTTTATTATCTGCATAGGCCGACAAAAAGTGCATACATTGGCTCGGTTATAGCGTCAGATGTTCATCCAGCGAGAAATAGTAATGAAGTTACTCATGACAAATGTGAAAATGAAAACACGGTAATTTGTGATCTTTACAACACTACAGAGGTTTTTTCGTCTCTGAGTTTTTTATCTAGGAAGTCGTCTGCTTCTTGGTTTGGCGATTGATCTAGGTCCGCGACCACTGTTCGCATCGATACATCAATCATATTGACTAGTCAATGGGGGGAATCCCAAGTGAAAATACTATTTATGGACGACCTTTGAGTGACGCTAAAGTGGCCTTGATAATGTCCACACACTGAATAGTGTTAAATGAAGTCTTTAAATCCATTTGAAAGATAAGGATTATTCACAGTTGATGGTTAGGGATTAGATTTAGGATTTTCATCACGAACTGACATCATTTACAATACCAAGACGTTATTTAACCAAATGGATAAATAATTTCGCGCCGAAACTCAAAACCTGGTATCGTAAATTACATTGGTTCGTCCACAATTTATAGTCTTGCCGAATACCAATCTTCCTATCTTAAGAAAAAATGTCTGTTTTGGGTAAATGGCAGAAAAACCCCGAGAATTCGGAGATTCCCCCTAAATCGAGAGATCGGGATTCCGTAAAATTGAGGCGATTTCAGGAAGATATATGCAAAACTGGACACACTCCCCTGATCTCTAATTTATATGGAAGTAGATATAGAGCGCACACTTGGGATGTTGAGAGACACACTAAATAAACAACTTGTTCTGATCTCTTTATCTTCGTCCACATAAAGATTCACACTTGGTTATGCTATTTTCTAATTGATGAATATAGAAAATTAGTTGTGCACAGATATTCGGATACGCATGTCATTTTCAATACTGAGAAGAGAGATAGAACAAAAAACAAAGCTTTACTGAGCGTAAATAGGAGCATCTGAACATGACGCTCAAGACTTCATGAATTTTTATCAGTCAAACGTAGTTGTGAAATTATCAAAAACGTTTTGAAAGGTAGTAGTGCCCGTATTAAGTCGACAGTTAGCCTTCTGTAACTTATCCTTGTCAAATTATCTTATCATCCCAATCCTATATGTTGTTATAATTATGTACTAATTTATAATAATGATCTAGGTTAAAGTAGATTGGAGGACGTTTGGATTTAAATCTAATAGTAGCTCCATACCACTCAATTTAAAATCAGATGAAGTTCACTTTTTGGACAGAAGTTATATGCCTGGAGAGGTCGTTCAAAACTTAGAAACCAATATGATTGGAACGATCTCAAATGTCTGTATGACAGCCCATGCAGAAATACTAGATCACCAGAAGGTCATGTTCGATATTCAGTGTGATCATTTAAGAAGTGTATATGTAAGCGACCCATTTTATTTTATTGACACCGTCATTGTATTTTTCATTCCCACAGCGTGTTTGTTGAATTGATTTGACATAGTTTATGTCCATGTCTGTTGTAAATATTCCGTAGTTTGGACAGCTTATTTACTTTGAAACTTATTTTTTTTTAAAAACCTCGAAAACCAAGGGATATATTATACAAAATGGCATTACGTTGTTATAATATAAAAGCGAACGTATAAATAGAAGTAATCTTGTATGAGGCATAGTGCTCAAGGGTTTACATAGAAATGTACACTCAATACTGCAGTATAACCAACATCTCTATTGGATGAAGTGACTCATGTTGGTAAACTGAGATCAACTTCGGCAAACTACTCATTAGTGTCGAAAATTTACCGGAAAAGTAATTGATATAGATAAAATTTAGTATGGGATTGTTTCACTAATAGTGAAGAGTTGTGGATGGTTTAACTAGGCGTTCCTACATATTGATTCGTATCATTGGATATAAAAAGAAGTCTTTTAAATATTTCAAAGAAAAATTATTTTATTTAAACACATAGATATTGGTACAAGGAGGCAACAAATACATATGCGCCACACAAATCTCATTCGAAATGTGTGAGGACTGTGATACTGCCCGGGTGCCCAAACCGAAACAGGTGGTTTTCCTAGGGGACCACTCCCCGAGCCTTCGACCTAAAGGTCTAACCCACAAGGCAGTGGAGCATCGTAAGGAGATGCAGTCCCATGGAAGCCGTTGACCAACAACTGGTTCATACGCCATTTGTTCCTTCAGGATACTGGGGCCAGCCCATGTGCACCATTGGTTTGGGATCCGGTTAAAGCGCCGGAAATTCGCTTTTCATCCTCTCATTTTCGTAAACACCACGAAGGGACGAGAAGGCAATGAGTAGGACTTCCCTGACAGAGGCTATATACGCGTAGCAATGTGAGAGCATTTCGAGAGTGAGAGCGGACATTCCCCACTCTCAGTCGTACCAGGGCATTTGGGAGCATGGAGGTGGTTACTTCGTCAAAAAAATTTCAAAGAAGAAAGTTGAATTTAATTTGTCACCGCTCCCATAAAAGATCGACTCCAAGCTTGTTGCATCTGGATCTGTAGTTTAAGGTGTAATCACCTCCAAGACTTCGAAGTGTAAATCTTATCTGAACGAATTCTGGTCTTAATTTAACCTCCATGCAAACGATAATAAGGATAAAAGTTCAGCATTCTAGGAATAGTCGAAGACATCCCGGAAATCATTGAGATCGGGGTCTGTTTAGAGACCTGTTTTGAAAAGCATAAAATATGAGACTACCTAGGTCGTAAGCCGACTACTGTATAAAATTTAGATAATACCTCACTATTTATGGTAAGGCTTAGGTTAAGTAAAAGATTACCAAACCAAATCCAACCACGTTTAGCAGTGTTAAACTCACCTTTTAGTTGTCAATCAGTAACAAAACCAATATTCATATGAGCTACATTATTATCTTATTTTAAATAAATTTACCTTTTAGCCATGGACCACACATGTTGACGAAAACTATGTGATTTGGAACAGTTGGCTCGGTCGGGTGTCAGATTGTCGTCTTATGGCAATCATTCGATTTTTGGATGGAGCACGGTAAATGATATCTGAAAATCCTAAAGTTTTCAGAGTAACTGGTAGTGTTTTCAATCCCAAGTTGATAAGTTAAATAACATAACTTTTAAGATTAGGTAGCTTCATTATCATTAATTAATATCTTTAAATAACTGGTGTTTCTACTTTCTAAAAGTTATTATATTTCGACAGATTTCATGGTATATTTTTACTCGTTTTCCTAAGTTGCCCTATAAAATGGCTTGTAAACGTTGACATTGTGCATGGCAGTTTTGTCTGAAAAACGCCTAAGAACTATCATTTTGCACGCAATTAAATCAATATATATACTGTTTTATTTTACTAATGCTGTAAGTTTCATGTACAGCCTATAGCTTAAAGTATTTATTTATTTGAACACACAAACATTGGTAAAAGGGGGCACCAAATACATTTGCACCACACAATAACAATGAGGCCAGTAGTACTTATCACTGATTTGTGTGAAGGCTGTGATACTACCAGCGCGCTCAAACCTAAGCAGATGGTTTTCTTAGGCAGCCACATCCCGAGCCTTTGACCTGATGGTCTAATCCACAAGGCAGTGGAACAACGTCAGAAAATACAGTCCCACGGTAGCCGGTGACCAACAATAGGTTCGTACTTCATCGGTTCCCTCAGGATCCTGGAGCCCATGTACGCCATTGGTTTGGAATCAGGGTTTTCCAACTTCCCTAGGTAGACCTTCCATATCCACCAACCTGGTGAAAGTGCCGGACATTCGCTTTTCGTCCTCTCAATTTCGTAAACAACACCCCCGCCACTAGGAGGCATTGAGTAGGACTTCTCTAGCAGTGGCTATATACTCGTGGTCATGTGAGAGCATTTTGAATAGAGTGGACTCTTCCCAGACTCGGCCGTACCAGGACATTTGGGGGCATGGCTTAAACTAGTAAGTCCACAATGAACTTGTGATTTCAAATTATTTTAACCGTTGATCATGCGATATAGTACAACACGACTAGGATATAAATGAACGGTAGCTATATAAACTTCTATACTTTCGACCGACAGATCCGAGCTTTGACTGTAGCTTTAAACAACTTGAAAGCATCTAATTGTAACACGTGTTATTCGAAATTTCAAGCTTTGTGGAATATGGGAAAAGTTGTTAGGCCTCTAATTTTATGTTGATAATACAGCACATATTGTTTATTATTTAAATGAATAGCTTGGTTATTGAGTGTGTTTCTGCTTATTGCTAAGTTACCCGGATAAGTACGTAAACAGTGTTTGTACCCGCAACCCAGTTGTCAACACCTTATCTAATTCTGAATTTTCAGAAATTTACATTTGTGTAATGTTGAAATTCATATGGAAAAATCCTCACAGCAAATTTTTGTTCTTTTGTGAAAAAGTAACTAATGGTTAAATTTACCCCTTCCCTCTTTTCGTGAATACTACATTTATTACTTGTCATCATGCATTGAAGCTTTAAAATGAATGTTTTGTCAAATATGACCCATATACTGACAAAGTAGATCCGCTCACTGTCGATGATAAATTTCAGTTTTGAGTGAGATATTATTATTATCAATAATTATAATCTTTACTGGTGTACTTGATATGAATAAGAATTATTTCGAAAAAGTGTTTTCAAATTTTTGTGTTTTTTTAATTTAAAATCTTTTTTAATAGTATATTTCACTTAACTCATAGATCATAAGACCTATATATATATATATATATATATATATATATATATATATATATACCTATCAACATTTTTTTCTCTTGTAAAAAGGAGCTATACAATTGAGACTTTTTTCAATTTTAGTGGAAATATTTGTGAATCGGTCACAAGGAAATCATTAGTTCACTTTCATCACTTGAGATTATGTTTTTTCATGTGGCCAACAATCATTTCGCTTACATCGTATTCAATTTCTCATAAAAGTTGTTCGAAAAAAACATCACATGGAAAAATTATAATGTATGATTAAGAACGCTTATTTTCTTTATAGGGATGTAATTGTTACCGAATAGAAGACAAATGGTCAAACATATTGGCGAAATTTGTTGCTTAACAAATAATAACGAAAAACTGACACAAAAGTATAATGTTAATGGTGACACTAAGTTTAGCTTGTTAATCAAAATACACTTGATCTTCAAACGTTTTACTTCAGGTTGGAATTCTGCTCCACATATTTTTTTATTTGGGCTATCGAAATGACTGTCGAATAGTGTATGTGGCCGTAAACTCCCGGCATAATTCTGTACTTCAGTCAGTCAATCTTTAGTAATGTAGAACCTACCATATATGTGTACAGGTTCAAGTTGACACCATAATAGTTCAGTGAGATTAAATTATCAATTCAAATACTTGAATAGTAGATGTAGTAACAGTATTATTGTTCGTAGAAAATATTAGGAATAGACAATACAACTTGAGAAGAATGAGTTTAAGCAATAAAATATCCAAGATAATTTTAAGATTCAAGATCTAAGGAAACACGAAGAAAGAATATTTGCAGCATTGCGAATAATTCTGGATCACGCCATCCAATATCTTCAATTATTCGTTACAATAATCGTGTTGACCCCAACTAGGTAGTTTATATCCACCTGCACAATCCAGTTTAACAATTAATAACTTCATGGACTGATGCCATATTTGGGTTTGGTCCTCTCTGACTTTTTAAAATCGTAATCTTGTCCTTTGTAAATCAGTTACATTATTCAGTTCAATTCAACAACTCATCGAAATGGTACATATATGTTAATTGTTTATCATTTCCAGAAATCTTATTCTCTTTACCTTTTGATTTCTTTGTGTTTTTGGGCGATAACATTACAGCTTGAATCGATCTTATGTTTCGCGATATTATGAATATTTTTGTCTCTATTTAAGAACTTAATTTGTAACTCAGGATATTAGTGTGGCGTATTATAACTGTATACTATTATTTTTATTGATAAATCACTACTCTTAATTTCATAACTGTATTCCATGCATATTTTTATATTTAGACTTCTTGTTGGAGATAATTGCCTAGAATGTTTTGAGTCATTTTTATCAGTGCCAGATGAATATATGAATAACAATTACGAAGGTATTTGGTTGATCGGTGATGCGTTGGATTTAAGATCTAATGCGAATTCATCCAAATCAAGTAAATTTGATTTTCTCAGTTTACCTGTGGATTCGACCTCTAATAAATGTCGTAACACAGATAAGTCAACAAATTCAGAATCAATGCAACCGTCTGATGTATATAACAGTTCACATTCAGCCAACAAAACATTCCCACTTGGACATCCTATTAAATTTCTACAGGCACTTGCACAATATCCTATCACTAAAACATTCTCTCATCATCCTGAACAAATAACATGTCTTTTGAAACGTACACCTATTTTCTTAGTTGAAACACCCGCTCATAATGCTGTTTGGCTTTCTCGATTAAAATCTAGTGTAGATGTTGTATTTTGTGTGGAACATTTTGCTCCTGTTGAAGCCACTATTCATTGGCTCGCTAATCGGTAAGTTCATATATATATATATTTAGGGGAGTTTGGATTTAGTTTGTAGAACTTAATTTTAAATTTACTGTCAAAAGTATTTTAAGCTTAGTCATATATTGTTGTAATGCCTCTGGCAAATGTCCTTAGACGACAATGTTCTATGGAAACAGTGAATAACACCTAAAAGATTTAGCTGGTTTAATCATTCTGAAATTATTGACAGATTGTTCGAAATGTATAGCGCAAATACATCACATTCTTCAGATCGACTCCGTCTTCTCATTGTTCTATTGAAATTCAATAATCAATGTAAATAATATTTTTAACCGAGAAATAATTGACGAAAACACCATTGACATTCAATTTCAGCCAACCTAACAGTTGTACTTCTATGTATAAATACATTCTTTCAAATGTTACTAGGAGTGCTTATTGTACTGTCCACAATTAACAGTTATTATTTCTCTGAAACATTTACCTACTGTTCGATTCCTCAAATACAATCCATAATAAACTGTATAAAGAAAAATATCAGGGATTTCATTTTGATCACATAAATCGTTTTTTTATTTGTATTATCTAATCCTTTATAGATGTGTTTATAGTATCCGGAAAATAAATTATGCAACTTAATGTTAGTCGGGTTTCTGAAAGTATTAAGATTCTGTCAATAAACCAATTGTTAATGTATTTCGTGTGCAGAAATGTTGTTAAGCCACAAAACTACTGTATTAACAAATTCACGGCTATATTTTCATTTTTTCTCTCTGATAGTCAGATGTTCGATCATAGGTGTCCTCGAAACATTGCTCGTATATCCTAGGACCATCGAGTAAGTAACACAGTTGTTAGGAAACAGGTACTAGGTAAGAATGGCAAATGGATTGATGAAGTGGTGAAACTTCATCAGTTGAGATGACTGGGACACGTGTTACGTACGCCCAACCACCGACTGCCTCGACGTGCTATGTTCAGTGGTATAGGAGTAGGTTGGAAGAAAGCTAGGGGTGGCCAGACCAAAACATGGCACAAGTCCATGAAGTCACTGGCAAGTGGACTGAGTCATGTTGGTAGGAGTAGACTACCTGGTTGGGGACCGCGAGATGATAGCAACCGATGGTTAGAGACCTTGAATGACATGGCTCAAAATCGTTTGCGATGGTGCAGGTGTATTCACTCTTTGTGTTCTCCCAAATTCCAACCTTCTGAATTCTTTATGTCCCTTTTTTTCCTCTTCCCAAATTTATTTCACTGTATTATACTCTTTAAATAACATCTCCAAACCCTAATCTTCCCGATTACTGCTTATACTCTTACTACCTCTACCACTACGGGACTTGAATCGACAACTGCATCTCTGTGCTAATGTGGTTTGTCAACTCGAACTGATGTACGTACGTACGAAGTTCTACGTTGTTACTGACTGACTGATAGTCAGATATGAAAAGAACAAAAAGTAATCCAATCATTTTACCTGGAAAAAATCCATATGTATTTGAAAATTATTCGTAAAGCTGATGTTCTTTCGCTTTTTCGTGTTTAATCATGGTGAATATAGAAATGATTTTATCGGTCGAATTCATATGTCAACTAATAGCAATATGTCGAGATTAAATAGCTGTCGCTTCTCAGTATGAAGCAATATTCATGCATCATTAGTTATTGAACGGAACAAGAACAACAACGTTTGCAGAATAAAAGTTATATCATATTTCATGGCTTCTCACCAGCTGCATACAAACTAAAATTACAATTATCAATATAACAGTTAACAAATGCTTAATTTATTTGTTTGTTTTCCGACTGGTGTTTAAAACTGTGGTTGATCAGTCACTTTTTTGGCACATGTATGCATCCTGTGGGAATTGCCTCGATACTGCCACGGTCACAGGCACTTTTAAGCAAAAAGTATCAAGTTGCAGTGCTAAAAGTCGATGGCAGGATTCGAACAACCAGTACGTACATTAAAATTATTTCCATTGAACAAGTCATTAGCTATTTGGACTCAGTAACTAAGTGAAAAATGCAATGGTGTTTGAACAGAACTGTACTGGATTCCGGTCCTGCAATGAGCATCAGCTGTGGAATGCAGGTATCTTCAATCGATGAGTCCCAAATAAGATTAAGCATGCGTCCTAGATTTCATTGCTACCCACCATCTATCTCTGCTCGAAAATGTTTGACATACTTTGGGGCTGCGAAGTTTAGATGATTGTTCGAAACGGAAACATAATAATAAGAATAGGACACAAAGCGTTTAAATGAACATAGTTAATATAAACGTGGATTTATATATTGGAAAATAGTAATGAAGAGTAGAATAGGTGTTATGATTACCGGTAATTATATTCAAGATGAAAGATTAAGACGTTGTAAAATCGTTCTCTCTGTCCTTCTTATGTACTTGCTACTGCAGGTACATACTAAAAACGTTCTTAGTAACCTATGGCTGAAAGTTAGTAAAGCCTTCACAAGTGCAATTACCAGGCATCATTTTGGTAGTGGACACGGAGTCATTATAACTAATGCATTTAAAATGATTAACAGACAAAAAACAACAATCTTACTCCATTTTGCAGAGGCAATTGCTATCAAGCATTTCCAACCTAATGTATATATACAGAAGGAAAGTGTGATTAGCTTTTCTCTGCCATATTGACTGAGTACTTATTAAATAACCTTTATTAATTTTTCCAACCGTCTCCCCTTTTTTTCATCTTCTGATATTTTTTTCTTACATAATCTTATTGATATTCACATATTTGTTTTGTTTTTCGTTATGTTGAGTAATTACACAATCAGTCATTAATTTCATTACCCTTACATAACTTCTTTTATCTTGACTATGATTACCAGTAACTATAACACTTGTTATACTCTGCATTACTATTTTCCAACATATAAATCCATGTCTATATTAACTATGTTTATTTAAGCACTTTGTGTCCTATCCTTATTATTATTATGTTTTCGTCTCGAACAGTTACAAGTGCAAATTATGAGCTATTCTTGAACCTGATTGAATAGACCTAAGACTTAATCCTTTGCCCTTGAAATTCAAGAGATCACAATTCACTTCAGTTTATCTTCAATGGACTAATTGAAGCTGTTCTGTAGTTATTGGTTTTCACTTGGTTAGTTGATTTTAACTTTCAACAAAGGCTGCTCTCATGTTTTGACCCAAAGTTCCTGCTAGATTTAAAATCTGTATCAGATCTTGTTTGTATAACCGTGTACACCGATTCCGAATGCCAGTTGAGATAGGAGTGGGTGGGAAAAAGCCGTGAATGGACAGACATCCACAAAGTTACTAACTTTTACTTCGGATCATGTCTGTAGGTGTGTACATTTACAGGTAGGAATTTGTTCATTAATAGTGATCTACGGTCATAGGTGTTAGATGACATTGTGCAGAATTACTCTCATTGGTTCAGTTATGTTTCTTCTCTGTCTTCCTCTAAATATTGAGTTCAGTGTTCTCCCATACTTTCATACTTCAATCTCACTTGTTACACTTGTACTATACTCATTGTCTATATTTTTATAACAGCTGATAATATTTCTTCCCTTCTGCGCATCTTTTGCATTTCCACTCTTGTTTTCTGGATTTAGAATATCTCAACTACATGTACATTCATAATAGTTCAATGCTTAAAAGGTTCGGATTTCAGTTACTATGTTGGCGCTTCATTGCACCAACTTCAGCTTAGGAAACTTCAAAGTATCACTAGCCTTCACATTCAGAGTGTAATTCGTAACCAAGTACACGAATTTACATCTTGTAAATGAGTCAGTATCTAAATAAATAAAGGGTTGATGACTAACTGACTTACGCTTGTCTACTTTTTCAATAGCATGATTTATATCTGAGAAAAACATTCCGCGATAAATGACGTAGGAAATACCTTTGTAAACTTTCACTTATGAGTCTTTTTTCTTTGTAAAAGAAATTCACAATCAGACAAACCGCCTCCGCGTGTGATTCATGGATTGGATTTGGGAAATTTAAAATCAGTCATTTCAAACTCTTTTATTAACTGTCAAGTAGGTGATATTTGGTACTACGAACTACAGGAATCTGATAAAATTTATAACATGTAAGCGACAAATTTTTGATTTTGTACGATTTTATTTTAAATAATTACATAATGTTATATTATGAAAAAAAGTAGTAGTACAGAATGTAATAAATAATACGGAAATTCCCAGATCTGTCTGGAACTTACTCTAATAGCTACAAATAAACCACCGCTTGTAGACTAGAAAAGATCGTGAACTGACGTGGACGTTACTTTATTGGAATAAAAGGGGTTGCCGTGTGGAAAGCTTGACGAATCGGGTTACGATTTGTTAAGAAGTGATTGGTTTACAAATCCTATATCCTCCATTAGCTTACGTCACTTAATCGTGTTTATTTTGACTATAAATATATTATTTTAACAGAGAGGAAATATCTGCTATTAGCTGTTTTGTTTTTCGATGTCATTTCATTCACGTTGGAAGAGAAGTTTGGATAGTTCGGTATTGTGATTAGTTATCACTCGGTTACATTACCATATCATCTATCAATCTGGACTCTATTTATTCATATTAATAATCTCATTCACCGAATCATCATACTGTAATCCACAACAAATGTTATTCTAAATCATTACTAGGGATTTCAACTGTTTATTCTCGATTAATACTTCTAATTTATATTATAACTTGGTAACCATGTCTATATCCGTGTACACAGCTTCCAGCTACGCTCTTCGGATGAGATCCTCTTATTTTTAAGGGTTCCATCGTACAAAATAGAAACCATAACAAGAGTGATAAAATATTATTTCGTTGTTGATTCAGTTCATTTTCTCTCGTTTTATATCTTAATTTGATATCGAAAGAATTTTTCTTATAAATGCTATAAATAAACCGTTGTGATATTCACCATCTTGTTTGTGCATACATAATCTGCCTGTTTTAACTGATTTTATGCACAATTTGAAAAACAATAATTTCAAGGAGTAATTTTACTCGACCTGAGCAATTGTTATATAAATGGTTCACGAACGATATTTCCGGTCTTGGAGCAGTGTTTTCACTTCCACTGAATGATGACAAACCGATGACAGATCAAGGCAAATTCAATGGGAATTGTGTCATTAGTAAAAAAGAAGTAGGAAAGTCAATTGTTGAATCCTCATCAGTTACTGGTCTGAAAAGTTCAGGATTATTAGCAGGAGAAAAAATGCCAAGCAGGACAACACCGTTTTGGGTAAGTTTTTCTAAGTTAGAATATGCTCACACCATTCAAAAAACATTCCATCCCCCACTTATATCAGTAATATATATTTTTCATTCACGTTCAGTGTGAGTACGATGTTGCAGAGGTGTTGGATGCTCTAAGCATTCGGCATCTAATTACTAGACTGGAAGTCTCATGCCACGTCACTCCATCTTTGTTGAATGAATATAGATTGAGAGAAAAAAGGAGTATATCAGCTTTCCATATGTCAAGTAATTATATATTTATTTATAACGAAAGTTTTAGTATAGTAAGGGATGGTTATCGTACAATTAATAGGAAAATAAAGATTAATGGTGTTTGATAAAAGACGCAGGTCAGTTAGAAATACACCCGAAAAAGTTTTTTAGTTAAGGGAGCTGTCCTTATTTTCGTGAAGAGCGTGATAGATATTTAAAACAGATGGGTTTTTGCCGACGGTGGAATCCAGGACGCGCGCTTCTTCCTCTTTGGAACTCGTAGAATTGATGTACTTGCGTCCCAATGTTGATATAGTTATTGAGACTGGAACTCAGTACCTTTTGCTTCAAACACCATTATATATATATATCACTATTGATAAGGGTTTAAGCTATTGCGTTGTTGATATTAAGGACTGAAACTAGATATAGTAAATGTAATGTCGTATGTAAGGAGGAAACATCTAGGTAGATGAATATAAGGATAAAAAACCACATAGTGCTTGAAACATTTCCCTAAATCCTGGAAAGACTTCAAAAAGCTTCGGAACAGATCAGCAATAGAGCTAAATTCGTCTGAAACAAGATATAACACTAACATCGACATAATGAAAATTAAAAAAGATTTCTTTTTACCGTCAAAGAAAGACTTAGCTGAAGCCCTGCATATACGGGGACATTCTAAGAATCCATATAGACGAAATAGGTTACAGTTAACTAGGTCATAAAAACCATTGATCAGTAAATAAAAGTAATAACTTAAAATACACTATCGTTTATATGACCATCAATTATTTTCGAAAACCTACTGGTTAACTTATGACCTGTATGCTACTTTCTGTTAACTTTTCCTTCGTCAAGTCTTACTTTTTTACATTCATCTTTCCTATAGGCACAAGTAAATCTATTTGCTTCGCAACGTCGTCGTAGGCGAGTAACTGTGGATCCACGGCATCGTATTCCTCGCACAGACATTTTTCATTGGGCTCACAGATTTCATAGATCAACAAGATCTTTCACTTCATACATTGATATTAGTGCTGATGTCTCTAATCACGATGGTGATGCCAATGTTGATGAGAACGATACACTAGAACAAACAAAAGACCAGTCACAAATACAAGATCAAAACGATCAACAACATAAAAAAATCGATCATGTGAAAGAGAGTAATCACCAACTGATAACGTTAACTTGTAAACGTATTTCTTGTGATAATTCAAATCTGGTTAATAAACCAGTTTTGAATCCCGTGGAAAATACCACGAAAATTGATTTATCTTTGAAATCTACAGTAGAAGCACGTGTAGTCTCAGGAGAAGCAGTACCATCATCACCACCGATCGCAGTAACTCTCACTTCTTGTACCACTAGTACCACTACTACTGCGGTGAAAGATCTCAATGACACTAATAGAAATGGAAATTCTATTCTGTCGCCAGTGTATATTATTTCGTCAGATGCTTCAGTAAACAAATCTACAACGAATACCACTTTACCATCAGATCAAATAAATACTGTTGATGGTGATGATCTTAATCATGATAATAACACTCATGTCGAGGAAAAAAGAGAACGCTTCTGCAAAAAAACTAGGTTATCAAAACATTCAAGGCGTCTACGTGTTCTTCGTCGACAAGCGGAGTATATTCAAGAAAAACGCGCTATCCATTTAAGAGCTGGCGATTGGGTACCTGTACGAATTTATGCAACTAATTCACTGTATGATATAAAATGGATTGATGGATCTGTATCGAAAGGTGTTGCCTCTGATAAGATAATATCGTTTGGTGGACACATAGAGCATTATTTATTTCCTGGATTTTTAGTTTCTTTGAAAAGTGGTGAGAATAATTTGGGTTTTCTCAATTTGTATGTCAATAATTTGTATGTGTTATAGATTACACTAATGTTGTGTTACGTATATACAAGATATTTTTTGTATCGTCAGTATTCAGTTATTAGTTGTTGGCTAGTAAACACTACAATTTTAAAGCGGAGGGGTTCAAAGTTATCTTATGAAATACCAGTTGAATGGTTTGAAGTTTTCGATTAGACTTTAAAGGATATGTTTGAAGAACCCACCTGTGGTATCACCTTCGTTTTGGTAACTGGTGTTTATTGCTTTTAATCGTACAATATTTTCTATCTTTTTCAATAGGCTATTACTTAAACCATTGAGGATGATGCTTATACAATAAATACTCGTAATAATTTTGACTCGTAATTTAGCATATTAGAAGCTCGGATACTGATATGTTTTCTATATGATGGGACAGGAATTAAACCTGATAATTTGGCATCCATTCCCTTGAAGAATGAATAACCTATACTTCCCATATACTACAATCGTTTATTTGTTCAATGACTTATGGTCACATTTATCCTTGGGTTAAATATTTTGTATATAGCCATGTTATTTTGTTAGATGGAAGATACCTATTCCTCTGACTAGTGATCCTGTCATTGACCTCAGTTCATTCAAGGGTTTGGGTCAGTAGTTATATCTTGTGAGCAGCCATCTATCGGCCACATCGTATCATTGCATTTCATCTGTCGATCAAAATTCTGTTTATTTATTTTAATAATCCAAGGCTTGTTCATCAAATCATGAGATTATACTTTAATTAGTTTTACCTTTATTTTGCAACCCTTCTACTACTTCAGTCATCATTATATGCAGGTGTTTGCGGTAACTATAACTACGTCACTCAAGCCTTTACTACCGTATTTTCTCTGACGAGCCTAATAATCGAATTCTGTGTATTTTTAAACAGTAAAACAGACTGAAATGCCCTAAAGTAACTTCTGCATAGGATTCACAATCCATTGCATATTAAAAACGGAATTCAATAAGGGGATCTCTTGTCTGCGAATTTATTATGAAGCCGTATATGTCTGAAATTATAAGGGTAAATTTATCGAAAAGAGATCCCTTAGTTGAATTCGGTTTCCCTATTTTCTTACCTGGAATTATAAATCATCAGATACTGTTTGGGGTATCATTCAATAAAAAATTGGTTTAGGATAGGAAGTGAAAAATACATCATAAATGAAACATGGTTATCTATTAGCTAATTACCTTTGAGTCAACTCCGTCTGAATCCCTTTTATAGTCGATCTCGAACAAAGGAAAAGGTTTGGGTATGGGATTAGGAACCACATCTCGTTGAAAAGAACCTTATTATTATTGAGATAACTCAATATAACCGTTTAAACTCTGTTCTGGGATTTGAATGGTCTTCACTTAGAAGAACTATGTTGCCCTATGATGAAAGTTGAGATTCTTAGAAAATCAAGGGGTCGATGCGCCTTTTTGACAACCAAAGCAACAATTAAGATGGGTATATGGAATTTTCAATGCAAACGTCAGAAAAAGTTCTATTGTACGTAGCTGACATTTGGTAAATTACCACAACCATCATCAAAGAAGTATATGTATTTATAAACAGTTATCTGTGACAGACACTCCACATCCTTTGACCAAACTCTAGGCACTCGGGAACAACTGGGAAGAAGAACCCTGGAAAGAGTAGGTTGCAGATCCCTGGTCGACGGTCTATCCCCTACAAGGGTTAACGGGCGTAAGTTTGAGCCTAAGTGTTGGACACATTTCTTCTCAACATTGAAATCTATACATTGTTACTGTTTCAGTTACTCAAAGAACAAATTCTATTGCGGACCCATCAATTTTTGATTCACCTGTCTTGTTAATTTGAAATACCAAGTATTTCATTAGTTGTAAGGGGTGTTTCTAATCGTACATTTGTCTTTTTTATTGTCGTTATTTTCGCAGGATCTTCCCACACCTGTCTAACGTTTTGTTTATTTTCTGCATATTTTTTCAAGATAAAAATTGCCGTTCACAGCCTATCCCACCGAATTCAGTTGTGAATGACCCCTCCTCAATAGCAGTTACCGAAACGATTGAGAGACTAAATACTGTTCCATCCTCTACAATCGAATTGTCTTGTGATCACCCTAGAGATCTTGGAGTAGCCCTTGCTTATAATACGAATGATCGAACTTGTCTTGTTCAGTGGTTCAAAACTGGAAACTCTGAAACTGGTTCCTTGTAAGTGTGTAAAAGTAATATTAGTAAAAATAATTAACCTATGCAAAAAAGGTGATTTAGTGATTCTAAATCTTCAGAATAGATTGAATGTTGCTAACGTTGGAATCCAGGACGCGCGTTTCTTTTTGATGTACTTGCATCCTAATGTTGATGTAGGTACTGAGACTGGATCCTAGTACTTTTTGCTTCAAACACCAACTCTTTATCCACTAAGCTACTGAGTCCTGATAACCACTCACTTGTACAACGAATATGAGATTTAATTCAATTTTTTAATGGTTCGGATTATCCCGCTGTTGATATTTCGACTGAAATGTGATCAGTCTTGACTGATACAAGTGAGTGGCTATCTGTCCTCATTATCTATGTGAATAACCCGGTGGTGTTTGAAGCAAATGGTGCTAAGTTTGAGTCCAAGAGTGAACATTAACTCTGTAACGCGGGTACATTCAGCTGTTTAGTCGCAAATAGGGTGAATCGCACGTCCTGGATTTAACCGCCAACCACCATCCATTTATATTTAAAAATGCTATTGGCATTATCATGGGGATCCTCACAGGATGCACATATGTCAACCAAGGCTGGTAGAATTACAGTCAAAAATATTAACAATCGAATAATCCAAAATCATTTTAAATCGAATATGTGGATCTTTATTTGATGTTCGTTTCTCTCATTCATATCCATTTAAAGGTGTTAATTCGCGTTGTATTTTAAAGTCATAATTTACTTCCTGATTATTAGTGTGTCATGATTTGAAACTTCCTATATCTCCCTGCTTGATCGATCTCTTGATAATAAAGTCCGCTAATCAGCTGATCTCTGTATACCTATCAGACTAAAGATGTACTCGACCAGTAACCTAGTGTTCATGAACAGTGGCTGGACAATCCTAATTCCAATTGATACACGAGTCCTTATCCCCAATACGTAATCAAGAATCGAAGATGGCAAGCAGATCCACTTTCTGTTATTGTATTTTCCTTATTGTCATCATAACTTAAATATACACGAGCTTACATATATCAATTACATAACCAAAACGCACCACAAATAAGAAATCGCAATCTGTACATGACTAGGACATATATAATGCAAAACCAAGTAATTGGTACGTAATCAAGCAACGGTAGAGCATATAGCATCAGTTACTTCACGAAATGAAATCTTACCGTCAAAAGTGATATAAAATGACCATGACCTTAGGTATTTGGTAACAACACAATGTGTAATGATCCTCTGTAAAATAGTTTTAGAATTTCCATCTCTCAGTTATTCATCCCGATTGAAGATAGTAGCAAACTGTTTACTATGTTTGTTGTACCATATTGAGTAAATATTTGGATATGGTTAATTCTTGCATGAATTGCATGACTATCTATCAGCTAAGTGGGGTTTTTGTTGAACTGTGAAATTGAAATTAGTAAAACATTTTTTGATAGTTAATTGACTAATGTGTATGATTAATTTGATTGTTCTCTATCGTATTTTATCCTTCCAATGGAAGATGGTGCCCTTTTAAAAGCCCAATTAATTTCAACTCCACTACTATTCCCATTTCTATAATTAACTTTCCATTGCTGACTATCTAAATACGAATTTATGTGACTACATTGAATTAAAGGCCAATGATTCCTCTTGGTTCTCCGGAAGAAATTGGTGTCTATGAAATTTCTGGATCTGGAGAATATCAAATGAATTATGGTGACATCGTTCTTATCAAATCTGCCAGTGAAACTGATTATTCAATTTATCCTGCTGGTGTTTTAGAAGATATTATTCCGGAATCAGGTAAACTAGTAATTCGTTGGATTGATGGAACTTCAAGTGAAGTTTATCGTACCGATTGTTTACAAGCAATTGAAGCTGTAAGTTAGTTCGATTTCGTTTTTGGAAAGCTCATTTCATACTGCACACAGTATAGTTAGTCATTCTTATTCTATGCATTGTAAGGCTTAAGTAAACGTTGTGAATTCGAGGTTGTTAGAATCTTCACCAGATTATAAAGTGTATTTCTCTCTAAATAATGTCATGGAAAGTTATGCCGACTTTTATGTGTTGCCCAGTAATAATGGAAAAGTAACCATAAGGTAGAAATTCGTTGATAAACAACTCTAGAACCTGAAGTATTTTAGTATGATGCACATATTATTACACATAGGCAACTCTGAGTGTTTTTATCAGATAAACCTTAAATGTCGTATGGTCGTTTGGAAAACAAGTACACATGGAACTTGCTACCGTACGACTCTATTTAAATCATATATTTGTCAAAATCTTGAAAAAAAAACAATCGCCTACTAGTTGTAACATTCAGCTGTTATTTAGGTGAGACCGTACCTTCACCTACTTCGGTTTTTGAGATGCTTCATTATACTAAACATTGTCATCTATTTATTTATTTATTTGAACACATAAATATTGGTACAAGAGAGCGCCAATATATATGCGCCACACAAAGCAATGAGAATTCGAAGGAAAAGGAAAAAAAGGTAAGGAGCGTAAAAAAAGGAGAACAATAAAGAAGAGATTGGTGTAAGGTAATGTAGTAATAATAATAGTAATAATGAGGGAACGGAAAGGTACAATCAGAAGAAATCTTTCAGGTAAGGGAGACACAACCTTTTTTTATGAAGTAAGTAAAAGAAGGTTACAGCAGGATCGCCACTGGCTTCTCTTCTGAGCTATATCTGATAACGTCTCTAGCCACTGTGTACTACCATCTCTCGGACTCCAACCAGGGGGTCATGAAGGACCAACAGAAGCCAGTCCTTTGCAACTTTCTTTCATGCCACGACACCATGTCATTCACTGACGACCTCTCCGCTTTTTCCAACCAGTCCCAGAGTCGGCAAATAATGCACGACGTGGAATTCTCTGGGACGACATTCGTAGAACATGTCCAAGCCACTGAAGTCGGTGTTTCAAGATGGTGACATCGATAGCATTGTCATCTCTGTACCCGAACACACGATGCTGAACCTCTGCATTACTGACATGATGTTGCCACTGGATGTCAGCAATCCTTCGGAGACAACGATGATCGAACACATAGAGTCGTCTAACTCGGAGAGGCCAGGTTTCACAAGCATAGAGCAGAACCGCTCTCACAGATGCGTTGTAGTTCCGACCTTTAACAGCTAGACTGACATCACGAAGGCTCCAAAGATGGCCCAGATTGGCATAAGTCACCGTGGCTTTGACTATACGTGAACTGATCTCATTACTCACGCCACCACCAGCACTTATGCAGCTACCCAAATACACAAACTTCTCGACTACTTCTATCTGCTCACCATCCAGGGTGAGTACAGGATTAGAATCCTGCCAGTCTTGTAGAAGTACTTTGCACTTCGAAGGTGCCAATCATATACCATACCTACGGACACTGATTGCCAACTGATTAAGTGCGGATTGCATGGCTTTGGCATTATCGCACAGTAATACAATATCATCCGCATACTCAAGGTCGAGAAGTCTTTCTCCAGGCAACAGATCCACACCACCATTACTTACATCCATCAGAGCTGTTTTCAGAATGTCATCGATGGCAAAGTTGAAGAGGAATGGTGATATTGGGCAACCCTGCCTAACCCCACTGCTCGAATGGAACAATGGAGAAAGGTGGTTGTATGCCCTCATTCTGCCTGAGGTGTTTGTATATAAGGCCTTTAAGATGCTAATGAACTTCTCAGGCACACCCTTCTTCAATAGACAATCCCAGAGAACAGTCCTATCCAACGAATCGAAGGCAGCCCTAATGTCAAGAAACACTACGATTGTTGGCCTTCGATAAGTATGACGGTGTTCTAACATTTGGCGGAGGGTGAAGATATGATCAATACATCCTCGACCAGAACGAAACCTAGCCTGCTCCTCGCGAGTCAATCTTTCTCGGGTTTTGAACAACCCACGAAGTATGACGGAAGCCAATAGCTTGGACGCAGTCGGAAGTAGACTTATCCCCCGATAGCTGTTACAGGAACGACGTGAACCCTTTTTAAAGATGGGGACAACTATCGACTCATTCCATGACGTTGGTACGCTCTCTAGCTTCCAAACCTTTGCAAACAACGTCGTCAATTCCTTAGTCAGAAAGTCACCACCATCTTTAAAAAGAGCCGGAGGTAAGTCATCTGGGCCAGGTGATTTGTAACGCTTCAAGAGTTGGAGTTCCCCGGATAAGCGCACGTAAAACAAGCTTTTCGAAGCGACAGATGAAGAGCGAATTTGTAGTACTTCACCAGAGTCTTGAATACGGGTCTCGGATAGACAGCAGACATCGATATTAAGGCTTTCCAAAAACATAGCCAGCCCTATCTGTTGTCCGACCTGCATAAGTGTGCGAATGTTGAAGGTAGCCAGTTTGAATGGTGCAGGTGGTTTTAGAAAAACTGCTTCAGTACTCATATTCAGTAGTAACATACAATTTTCAACCGGACAGTGACTTGAGAACGTTGAGATAGAGTCGAATTTCCACCATGGGCGAGCTGCTGTATAAGTATAAAATAGGTTGAATAATGTGGTAAATAATAATAATAATAATAATAATAATAATAATAATAATAATAATAATAATAATAAAGAAGAAGAATTTGATCGTTAGTTGAGGCAAGTAAAGTAGTTTCCATAATTATAGGCAGTCCATCATATTTGTGTGTGGGCTGTGATACTGCCCGGGTGCCCAGACCGAAGCAGGTGGTTATCTTAGAGGGCCACACCCCGAGCCTTTGACCTAAAGGTCTAACCCACAAGGCAGTGAAGCATCGTAAGGAGATGCAGTCCCATGGAAGCCGTTGACCAACAACTGGTTCATACGCCATTTGTTCCTTCAGGATACTGGGGCCAGCCCATGTGCACCATTGGTTTAGGATCCGGTTAAAGCGCCGGACATTCGCTTTTCATCCTCTCATTTTCGTAAACAACACGAAGGCACGAAAAGGCAATAAGTAGGACTTCTCTGACAGAGGCTGTATACGCGTGGCCATGTGAGAGTATTTCGAGAGGGAGAGTGGACTCTCCCCACTCTCGGCCGTACCAGGGCATTTTTCATACAAAATGTTTGAATCAGAACTGAGTACATAAATCCTTGGTTGATTAACAAATTACATTAATATTCTTAAAAATTATCATATACATGAATATTTTGTGGTAAGTGACATCTCACTACTCGGTCAGTTATAAAACACAGTCACTAAATATAAAGTGATATTAGTCTAATATTGATCGATTAATGGTTTCAATTAAGTCATATATGTTTTATTCAAAGGATCAGTGGTACTACACCACCTGCTTGTCCGAATCAAAGCGACTAAAGTAATGTTCCGATTTCTAACTTGTATACTGAAAGTGTGAAATTGTTCCACATCACTAAATAACTTAGTCGCTTTTACTGTTTTCATCTTTGTAACGACGAATAAACACATATTCCAGCCACCTCAATTGTTGAAGATTCAACACCTCATCAACAGACTTTCTGTCTTTACCTAGTATTGTATGTTTAGGGTTGACAACGCTCACTGATACTCGTCAACCCCATTCAAAGTTGTAGAAGATCTGTCAGTTCACCATTTAAGATTTACTCTTAGCAGACTAATATATAGGATTTCAACAATATCATCCTCTTGAGCTACAAATTTTTGCTATTTCAAAATCATTGTTTTCAATGTGTTATTTTCTCAAATGTTTTATTATTAGGATGATGATTCTACAGATTATGAAGATTCCTTCGACTCAGAATTCAGCGATTCAGATGATGAAAAAACCGAAAAGTGGGAATTGTATTCAACTTCTTCGGAATCTTCGTCTTGTTCAAGCTTTTATTCTACATCTGGTTCCTGCTCTTCGTCTTCTTCATCTAACGCATCTGATAGTAAAAATGATAATGACAGTGCGTGTTTACAAGTTACGCAACCAACATATGAAGATGATTTACGGTAAAAAAAATAATTCATGCACTAATTCATTCTTTTCCTTACTTATGAAATTATCACCTAAAGTATAAAAGTGATGATACATTTTCACCGTTTTACAGTAACATAATTATTTTTTTAAGCAGTGATTAACATTAATCAACTCATTTCCGGTCTGTCTAATATATTTTTCAACAATTGACTCCGTGTATTAAGGAAATGGTATGTTCACTGAAAATTAGACTATATGCTATTGTAAAGCGTATTTTTGGAAGTTGTCATTCAATATTTGTTAACCGCATAAGCCTTGAAGCTATCCTTCTTAGTGTCTGATTTTCAAAGACGCCTCAAACTTAAAAAACACCTACAAATTTCTGTTGTGTTGGAGAAGCCCGTTTATTTAAATAAGGTTTGTAATTGTTAAATGAGTGGATGGATTGTTGATCGGCAGTTGAAATGCAATGATACGATGTGGCCGATAGATGGCTGCTCACAAGATATAACTACTGACCCAAACCCTTGAATGAACTGAGGTCAATGACAGGATCACTAGTCAGAGGAATAGGTATCTTCCATCTAACAAAATAACATGGCTATATACAAAATATTTAACCCAAGGATAAATGTGACCATAAGTCATTGAACAAATAAACGATTGTAGTATATGGGAAGTATAGGTCCTTCATTCTTCGATGAAGTTGAATAATTATTGTCCATCATTTCAATTTCACGCTTTCGTCTTCAATCCGTTTCGCAGTAAACTCGATTTTTGGTTAAAAAAATCATTTGGTATAGTTTGAACTCGTCATATTGCATTCTGTTTCGAATATCTCCTTGGTAGTATGATATCGATCGTCGTTTTTACAATTTATTGTTAGTCATATGATTCCCCAATTCCAAATTGTTATATCCGGTGAAGATTAAATAACAGGTAACTTCCGAGGACTATTCATGGACTAATAGTCTATAAATATTCTATTGTATAACTATTCAACAATTACATTATGTATATTTATATTCCTCTTATTATAAGCTTTATTTTGACCTATAATTTATTATTGTACGATTTACGGTTCTTAAGTTATGTTCAGTTTATTAACTACTGCCTCCCACATTCACAGCCACTTTTTGGGCTTATTTGTGTACAAATATTATTTCCTATTTTATGGTACGTTGCGGTCTGTGTGATTGATATATAAACCAAGTATGCCTGAAATAAACGATCTGGTCTGATCTGCTCTGATTCGGAAGCTGGTATTTTGTTCTGGACTCAAGTGGAAGGGCTCGTAGGACATAGGACCAATAAGGACGCTAGACTGCCCACACCGGTTGAACGTCATTGGTTGGCCTAGTGTGAAGATTCGTATAAGTCGTATTCGGATTGGTAGATAAATCGCGTGATAAGAAAGTCAGACACCCAAGGTCATAACACAAATGTCATTATTAATCTTTATTAGATTTTTAAAAGTTTCTAATAGTTCAATAATAAACATGCGTTTCTTCTTATTTAGAACTCATCAACTACATGTGCCTGTATCCCAATGTCGATGTTCGCGTCGAAACTTCCGTATTAATTATACTTGAGTTACTTATACCCTACTATTTACTACATTAAGATATCCTCTACGTACATGCAATTCGAAGTGATTGCAAGCACACTGCCTCCAGGGAGGATCGAACTCCCGACCTCTGGTTTACTAGACCAGTGCTCTATCCACTGAGCTATGGCCCCCAAATGTCCTGGTACGGCCGAGAGTGGGGACAGTCCGCTCTCCATCTCGAAATGCTCTCACATGGCCACGCGTATATAGCCTCTGCCAGGGAAGTCCTACTCACTGCCTCCTCGTGGCGGGGTGTTGTTTACGAAATTGAGAGGACGAAAAGCGTATGTCCAGCGCTTTAACGGGGTTGGTGGATATGGAAGGTCTACCTAGGGAAATTGGAAAACCCTGATTCCAAACCAGTGGTGCACATGGGCTGGTTCCAGTATCCTGAAGGAACAAATGGCGTATGAACCAATCGTTGGTTACCGGCTACCATGAGAATGCGTTTCCTGACATTGCTCCACTGTCTTGTGGATCAGACCTTCAGGTCGAAGGCTCCGGGTGTTACCCCCTTAAGAAAAGCACCTATTTCGGTTTGGGCACCAGGGCAGTATCACAGTCCTCACACAAATCAAATGAGATCTATGTGGCACATATGTATTTGGTGCCTCCTTGTACCAATGTCTCTGTGTTAAAATAAATAAACGTATATACAACACACCTGAGAAATCATAATTTATGTTTAATTAAACTATTTACCTCAGTGCTCCATTATACTCTGATACAATGTGATTATAACTCAGTAAATCCTTTTCTCCCAATTATAATGGTGATACGTTCCCGGTATTTCTGTAGCATGTATAATTACATCACTATCCGATTCATATGGATCTGATCATTTTAACCTCATTTTGTATTGTTTTGTCCTTTGCCAAGTCCCCGCCTCGTCACTGAGTTCCATTTATTTTGAATCTGTACAGAGTTCAACTATCAACTTTTCCAACCATTGACTATTTATCGTACCTATTTGTTTTTAAACTTGTAAAATGGGTTATTTAAATGTTTTTACCCTTATCGTCAGTCGATTTATCGATTTTTTAGTAGATTATAATTTATATCTGATTTTCTTTTAACTCATAGACCTGTTGGAATTAAACTTTCACTTGCCAGTCAACATGTTAAATCTGCGCACAGACTATTTTCTGATCGAGTTACATTTGTTTTGTGGTTAATGCGGTGTTTTGTTACAATTTCTGGCATTGCAGATGATATCCTTGAACAGGTTTACTCAGCACTTCGTAATGCAGCTCTAATCGATCCTACGGAAATAAATACTGTTAGTTCTACTTCATTGAATACATCTCATACTGAAGATTCGACTAGTGATACATCTTTATTAACTAAGAGAGAAAACGTATGGAGTGACGCTGATGAAGTAGAAGCTATATCGTGTGTAGAAATGCTCACTACTGGACGGTCATTACTCTACGAAGCATTCCGGTTGATTAAGGATTACAGAATCAGGAAAATGGTTAGTATAATTATATATTACAAATTATGGAATATGCTTAATTTACTGGTATGCATTCATGTTAGTATTTCTCGAATCAGTTTCGATGTGCGGTATAAAAGTAATGAGCTTTTCCAAATTATGGCACAAAGCTGGTCAACTTTTTGTGAGGTATTCTCAAAACATTTGATCTAAGGCAAGAGAGAAAGTGAGTGGATCTGCACCATTTCGATTCATTCTGAGCTATGTCACCAAAACTCCCTAGCCATTGGTTACAGTAATCACGCAGACCTAAATCAGGCACTTTACATCTATTAATATGACTGTCCAATTACCAGTAACTTCAAAGATTGGTGTTATATGTTGATTTTTCCAACCCTAACATTCTTCAAACCTGCTTGTGCACCAGCAAATATTACACATCATGGTATTTATTTATTCACATAAATAC